CCTCTGCAGCTTCTTTTCTCAACCAATCCCAATTCCCACGTACTTCCATCTCATCTCTGGATGTCAAAACCCTGGCCACTCAGGGGCTTGCTCCTGGTTCTTATGGGACCAGCAATGCCTCTAAGAACATGCCCTACTGAATCCCCATTGTTATGGTATGTGGGAGTCTCAGACAGCTTCTGCTTCCTCCTGACACTTTTTCGGACAGTCAGTAGGATCTTTAATAGAGAATATACACACAAACACTTGGGATTATCTTTATGTATGTATAAACCTAAGCCTCGCCTTTGGAGATTCTCATTCAATAATCTGGAGTAGGCATAAATATCAATATTTTCAAAAGTTTCCACTAGCAGAACCAATGTAGATCAAGTGCAGTCATATCTCAGAGATATTGTAGGTTCAGCTCCAGACCACCACAATTAAGTGAACATCACAGTAAAGTGAGTTGAATGAATTTTCTGGTTTCCTAGTGAATGTAAAAGAAGGGAGGGCAAGGTGAAGAAATAATTAGCAGAAGAAAAGAAAGGATTGTTCTAGGTTAGGTCATCTTCCCTCAGGGAGAAGGGAAGGGAGTCTAGGTAGATTACCTCAACTTCCTTTGGAGGAAGGAGAGGGACTTTGTGACAGATTGCCTCATTGATGCCGATCAGAATATTCCTGACTGACCTGTTAAGAGAACATTTCTGGGGAAGGCTAGAACTGCAATACAGTTAAGTATTAAACTCCAGTTTGGTGACTTGTCCTAAGTAATGCCATTGTGGGCTGGTGGTTTTTCTTTGTAACAATTTCCCCCCTTTTTTGAACATTTTATTTATTTGAGAGAGAGAGAACATAGCAGTGGCAGAAGCGGATTCCCCACTGAGCAGGGAGCCTGATGTGGGGCTCAATCCCAGGACCTGGGATCATGAGCCAAAGGCAGATGCTTCACTGACTGAGCCACCCACAGCACCCCAAATCTCCCACTTTTGGTCAGATTCTCTGTTTAACTGAGGAGGGTGATTAACAATTTAAGGCATTAGCACCACTTTCAGCTACTGCTTTGAAATTCTTGAAATGTTTGCTGTTCCTTCAGGGTGGCATCTATAGGTCATTCCATTTTTGATTAACCCCTGTAGTATAGGGATGTCTAGGTGGCTCAGCGGTTGGGTGTCTGCCTTTGGCTCAAGGTGTGATCTTGGGATCCAGGATCGAGTCCCACATTGGGCTCCCTGTATGGAGCCTACTTCTCACTCTGCCTGTGTCTCTGCCTCTCTCTGTGTGTCTCTGATGAATAAATAAATAAAATCTTAAAAAAAAAAACCCTGTGATATATACAGGTCACAGTAGTCAGTCATTCTCTTTGCTTCTCCTCCAATATTCCAGTCTTAAGGAGATCATTGGTTTGGTAGTTAGTGGCCATAAACATGTATTAGAAGCTTTTAAGAGGACACAATGCAACAAGGAGAGCTTTATGATAACTATAAGCAGGATATTTCCCAATGTTTATTGTACACGTCAGAGACATGGTCCCTAGGAACCAAACCAGTTAAAGAAAGAGTCCATTGAAAGAGTCACTCTTTTAAGCCAAGTGATTTGCTCAGTGATCTTATATAAGAGAATTTCAATTTCCCCAGAAGTATTGATCTATATATATATATATATATATATATATATATATATATAGAAGGTAGTGTTGGTCAAGCACAGATACCTCCTTTCATCTCTATAAATTATCTCCATTCTGTCTACAAACCCACTGTGGGTTATTTATTTTAAGATGATTTTTTTCCATGTAAGGCTACTTGCTAGATACATATCTTGGTCTTCAAACTAATCATCTCTATAAATTATCTCCATTCTGTCTACAAACCCACTGTGGGTTATTTATTTTAAGATGATTTTTTTTCCACGTAAGGCTACTTGCTAGATACATATCTTGGTCTTCAAACTAATCATCTCTATAAATTATCTCCATTCTGTCTACAAACCCACTGTGGGTTATTTATTTTAAGATGATTTTTTTCCACGTAAGGCTACTTGCTAGATACATATCTTGGTCTTCAAACTAATCATCTCTATAAATTATCTCCATTCTGTCTACAAACCCACTGTGGGGGTTTCAACTGTGGGTGACTCTGCTTTGGTCACTAATGGAACCTCTTTTCTATGATCGTTTTTGACCAAGTGTTTCATTCTTTCTTCTTTCTTTCTTACCACTTTTGACCACTTTGTGAAGGCTTGAGTGCAGATAAAAGGGAAGAAAATCCTTTCCAACCCAAGCTATTGTCATAGCCACTGATTTTAATTTTTAAAAATCAATGCTGTCACGGTAAAATTTACAGGAAATAGAATGTATCCCTTTTAAAGGTACAATTTAGTCATTAATGATAAAGGTGTGTTGTAGTATAAAATCATCCCACTCAGGATGCAGAACACTTCTGTCATGCCAGAAGGTACCCTTGTGCCCTTGACCTCCTCTTCGGGTGATTAGTAATCTGATTTCCAACTCACTAGATTAGGTTTTCCTATTCTATGACTTTATATAAGTGAAATTGTAAGGTAATAATTCTACCACACATGGCTTCTTTGAAATGCAATGGAAACACAATGTTTTCATCTGTGTTACTGGGTGTGTCAGTAATTTGCTCCTTGTTTACTGCTGAATAGTATTCCAGTGTATGCATGTAGCATGCTTTGTTTATTCATGCATGCATCTATAATGGATATTTGGGATGTTTCCAGTGTTTGATCTCTTCATTTCTGAGGAAACAGTGGGCCCTTGCTGTGGAGTGGCTCTCTGCCCAGCTTCTGGGGATGGATGATTCCAGTTCTACATCCGTAGGTGTATCGCCAAGCCTCCTTCCTGTGGTCTGGATACCACCCTAGCAGGCTTACACTCAGGGGTATGTAGCACTGGCTGGTGGAGAGACTCTTACACAAAATCCTCAAGATGTTTCAAAATTAAATAAATATAAAAGTAGAAGGGAAGCAAGGCACATTTATGCTTTCTTCCCTGCAATGTCTCTCTGTGTGGCAAGGAGCAAAAGATGATGCTGCAAAATGTGTGGGGTAAGTAGCTGTGTAAAATCAAATCACCCTGAGAAAAATCTCAGGTTGGAATCTACACAGTGCATTTTATTCTAATTAATAGAGATTTAACACTTATCCTAGAAAACAAGAAGCTAAACTGCCTGACTCACATGTCAAAAAGCAAGTTTGTTTTCTATTGTACGGGGTTTTAGAACAACAGTAGTACAGCTATGAATAGTTAACATATGTGCACATAGCCACACACCCACACATGCACAGGATACTTTAATAGCTCTGGGTCCTTATTCTCTTAAGAGACTAAGGCAACAATCCCAGGAGTGTTTTCAGGATATAAAGAGGTATGAAGGATTAATATCTGCATTTTTTGTTAGTCTCGTTATTAGCCCACCTTCCACCAAGTATAGCTATAAGATAAAATGGCTAGATTGAGTTTGTTTCTGGGACAATCAATTGAATATGTGCTTATAAAAAGCAGTGGCGTCTCTGGGTCTTCTTCCCAGGCTCCTTATTTTGAAGAGTCCTCCATTATTTTACAATCCACTTCTCCAATAAACTTTTGCTGGCACTCCCCACACTCTGACATTCTGAATATCCTGGTTACAGGTTGTTTTTCACATTTGTTTCCTTCTCTAGGATCTGAGACCATGGAAGCAAGGGACCATCGTCTGTTTCACCTGAAGCCCTGGCATCTAGAAACAGTGTCAGATGGAGTAGGTCATCCATGTGTATTTTGTAAATGAGTGGAGGAGATGCAAGAGGAGTCCCACCAAAAGTACATGTAACTCAACAGGAGGAATAGGCACTGCATGGGGAATATGGTCAGTGGTGCTGAGGTAGCGCTGTGTGGGGATAGACAGCAGGACACTTGTTGACAGCACAGCATGATGTGTAGAGACATGGAGTCACTGTATTGTGCACCTGAAACTAATACAATGGTGTCATCTGTATGCAGATAAAAAAAGTTAAAAAGATAAGCTCAACTGGCTAAGCTGATCATAATTAACCTTCTCTATTTTTCTAGTGTCAAATATCTCTATTTAAAACAATAATACTGCTTATTGTATGCTTACAACACGCCAGGCAGTGTTCTCCGCAGTGTCTACATTTTCACTGACTTAACTCAGAACTCTTAGGGAATTATTTTACAGGTAGAAGGACCAAAGCTTGAGAAAGTTCAATGTCTTGCCTGAGAATCAATGGTTAAAATGCCATATCAGATATTCTGAATCTGAGCCTGCCTTTTAGTCTTTATGGGGTCCCTAAAAACAGAGCCATCTGACATGGGAGAGCAATAGAAAAGAAAACTTTTGATGCAGGTGCAAAATGTTCCCATTCCTAAAAGCAACACAGCTTCACAGGAGCTCAGAGCTGTGGCATGGAGTACAGGACACAGGCCTTCAGCTTCTGAAATGCTGTAGACCTAACATCTGTTTCCCCCCAGAATCTGGTTGCCAGAAACCTGTTGCCCAAGGGGAAAGCAGTAGGGGGTGAGGTCTTTGGAAGCTGATTAGATCCGAGGGCAGAACTGAATGAGAGTCTCACCCTTAGAAAAGAGGCTCCAGGCAGACTCTTTGCCTTCTCCACGATGTGAGGACACAATGGACACAATGATCTGTCAGCAGCCTGCAATCCAGGGAGGGGCCCACACCACAGCCCCACCAGAGCTGTGATGAGTAGGCTCCTCTCCTTCACAAGCATCCGTCTGGGGTATTTTGTTTTAATGGCCAGAACAAAGATGCCAAAGCAGGAGTGACTTTTCCAGATGACACTTCCTAATTGCTCATGAACGGGAGAGTCAACATGGTGTGAGTTGGACCCTATGTGGACATTCCCACTTCTCACATATTCTCCAATCCTTCCTCACTTCCTACTCTGATGTCACTCAAGTGCCAATAAAGGCAACTTTGGAAAATATACTCCCAGCGCAGGCTAGGCTTCAGAGAACTGAGTATTTCTTGGTTCGTGTTGGGGAACAGGATGTGTAGGCAACAACTGTGGGTATTTCACAATCAGTGTACACGCCCTGCTGAAAAGGAAGGTGGAATATGCTTTCGGTTTCATAGCACACATCAAGGCTGACAGAGACAGATCATGGCCGGTGAGTTCTTGCTGTCTATAAGGGCATGTCTTGGGGAAAAGCTGGTTCTGATTGGCTTTGAGTTATGTGACTGTTCAGGGGAGCAGACATGAGGGCTAGGGCTGAGGAGCAGGCAAGAAGGCAGGGGAAAGGAGAGGGCTTGGGAGCTTTCCACAGCCTGCAGAAAGATGAGGCTGGGCCAGGAGGGAATGGGCTTTGCTTGTCACTGTTTTGCAATCCTAATTCAATTTGAAAGGCCCTGGTCTGACAGGGAATGCCTAACTGGCACAGGACAGGGACCAACAGTTCATGTCCCCAAAGGAAATTGGACATAATTGTTCACAACTCTCTGATGCAGAATTGAACACCCGTGGGGCTGTAGGGCTGGTCGGCGTGACCCCTGGTTTCCACATGCAAATGGCAGGAGTGCACATGGTCCTCAGGCTGTGGGGCCAGAGCTGCAGGAACAGAGTGACAGTAGGGTCTCAGGACTCCTGTGCCACGTGCAGAGGGTTGGCCTCCTGACTGCATATAGAGCAGGTGACTCCTTATTGCTGACCTGAGAGGGAATGAGACTGTTTTCATGACTTGAGGAATCCTTATCTTCACCAGACAAGGTCCTGAAGGACAAGAGAAGGCTGTTTGTCCGGTCAGTAGACATGGGGACCATCAATGGGTTGCTGGATGAACTCTTTGAGAAAAGAGTGCTGAACCACGAGGAGATGGAGCGAGTGCGGTGTGCACACTCTACAGTTATGGATCAGGCCCGAGTTCTGATTGACTCTGTCCTTCGGAAAGGGCCAAATGCATGCCAGATTTTTATTTCTAATATTTGCAATGAGGACATTCACCTGGCACAGACGCTGGGGCTCTCCTCAGGTAAGGATCAGGGGGTCTAACTGCAGTCCAGGGAGAACCATGTCCTTGTGCCCAATGCTGGATTTCCTCCTTGGTTGGTTTAGTTTGCAGACACCTGCCTTGTTCCTGGCTCCAGGGCCCCATTTCTGTACCCCAGCTCTACTGCATGGTTCCTGTTTCTTTCTTCTACTTTCTGGTCCTTTGGCCTCATGAGCTTCCTTTGATTAAAGTTCATTCTCCATCCTGAATATGTGGTGGCTCCTTTGTAGAAGTTCATGAGGACAGTCTGAAAATCTTCATACTATGCTCTCCACTCATCCTGGCAAAGCCCTCACTCAGTGTCTCTCTTTTTTCATTTATCATATCCCCCCCCCAAATTAAAGACAATCAATAGCCAAAGACCACATCTTTGCCCCATTCCTCTCCAAGCACAATCCTGGAGCCCTGGAGGCACTTGTCCAACCCACTGAGAAACTCTTAAGCTGTCACATGATGCTCTTTGTCAGGGCTGTCATGATTTTTTCTCTCCCTCTTCCATCTACCAATTTTTATATGTCCATAGATTATGACAATGAGATGTAGTATCTGGATGCACTTGAAGGGGAGAGACCTTCCTAAAAGAAAGTTCTTGGTCATAAGAAGACCTATTGCAGATGCCATAGATAGGCCTCCTCTAGAAAATGTTCTTGAATTCACTGCTGGTTAATTTATTGCAGCAGTCTTGATGGAAAGGATGGGCCAAACTGTGGTATGCTGCCTTTGGCTTGAAGCTTTGACTCCCCCTCCATGTAGAGAAGGGAAATGGACCATATTTTGTCTATGGATATCCTGTCTTCAATAAGTACTGTGAAATGAAGATTCAGGAGTATTTCTCATTTGATAGCTTATGCCAATTCCAGAGGCTTCCAGAATAAGCTTCTTGGGTTTTGTCATACTGAGATCCTCATAAAACAAGAAACAAATTGATTCCATTTTTGTCCTTAAAACTGACAATCATAAAAGTGAGCCAGGAGGATCTATTAAAAGGTTTGAGTAACTCTATGCAACTAAATACTGTAACTGTGGCTTCCCATTGTTTTTCTCTTCTGTGTGAGGCTTCTTCCACCTAGTAGGGCAAGGGTGATGGTCAGGGGTCTTGGCACATGTGTAATGAGACCAGGCCGTTTGTAGGATGGAGGAGTAACATACTGATTAGGAGCCCATGGATGATTGTGGGGACAGTTTGCATTTGTATTTTGGCTTGACCACCTTCCTGTCCCATGACACTTGGGAAACTGACTTATCACTGCTGAGGGTGGACCAGGTGGGCCACCTCACCCTCATTCTCTGCGGTCATAAGTCTTAGCAGAGCTTAAGTGCACATGTGGCACACACCTGTTAGGCAGTAGTGTTCATCTCAGGAGCCACCTTGAAACATGAGAATTAAGAGACCTTTTGGTTCCATGTCTGATGCTGTCTCAATTTCCCTTCATCATAGAAAGCAGAAATAAGGAGACTTCCAGATACTCCTTTGCTTTGCCTCCAGTGTGAAAGTTCAATTACTCAGGCATAGTCACTTTGGCTTCCCAGTGATGGCTGTAATGCTAAGCTAACTGTACCTTGAACAGGCCTGCAGGTGTGTTCAGGAGGGTTGTCCAATACAGCAGGCGGGATTCTTCAGAGACGATAAGTGACTATTTTAATGTCCTGAATCTTTGCTCAGGTTCACTATCTGGAAATGATCATACCAAACCAGACTCTCAAGTAGAAGTTCCTTCTTTACCAGGTAATGGTATTTTCCAAATAAGAATATTTTTTTGAACTTCATCTTTTTTGACATTAATTCTAGGTTCACGGGATGACCCCAGGGTGAGAGGGCAATGGGTTATTCTCATGGATTGCTCCTATGTCTTTTTCTCTTAATCTATGTGTTATAGCAGAGGCCATCCCTGCAGCTTTACTACCATGTTCATACTCACAAATCTAAATGTGCCCCAAACCTGACTACCCACCTTAACACCACACTTCACTATTCTAGTGCCTTCTAAACATATGCACTCATGTCTCCCTTAGAGAGTTCTATCTCTATGTACCAGAGAGCTGAGCTTGTCATCCTTCCCCTACCTTGCTTCTTCTCCATTTTTCCCCTGTCCTCGTTAATGGTACCACTATTACCCAGTTATTCAAACCAGAAATCTGGATTATATTAGGGTTTCTTTTCCCTCACGTCCAACATTCAAGCAGTGGACAAGTTTACTGATTGATTCCTCTTTCAGATCCAGATCCTTCTTTCCACTTTTATTTTTGCTACCATATTTCAGAATCCCTACTCTTACAGTGGCCTATGATTCTTCCAGCCATAACTCTTACTATACTTTTCTTGTCATTAAAAAATAAATAAATCTATCCTTTTCCCCCACTGGACTTTAATCTTTATGGGGAAATGAGACATATCTGAATTATTCATAGGTAAGTTCCCATCACAGTGGTTGTTGACTCAGTATGCATGCAATAAATGTTTGTTAAAATACTATTTAACTGAATAATTTCATCAAAATTGTTAGTATCTAGGCCATTTGAAAAATATTTGACACATACCAACTGTGTTATAGATCTTGCTCTATGGACTGTTCAGAGAGTAATGGACAAACAAGGTTCCTGCCTTTATTCATCTTATAAAGATACACAAATATGAAAGATTAGGTATTTAAGAATTTCCACCATCAAATTAAAGCTAGCCAAAAATTTGGGGGTAGAAATGACACTTATATAACCATATCAGCTAAGATGATATGGAATGCTATCCCAGATAGTAGTAAATTAACCAAGTGTCAAGTTAATCTACCTTACTGGAAGAACTCTAGATGTACTAATTCACGTATTCATTAGTTTATGCATCCAACAAATATGTAAGTGTTTGTAAGTATTTTAAGCACAAAGATATGGGAATGAGATCTGGGTACAAAGATATGAATTCAAAGACATCATGCTTTTACCAAGAAAATTAAATACAGGCAAAAGAAAAGATCTTACAGTCTACTGGGAAAAATGTACAGTTCTAGGAAACAGCATGGACTTTCTTTGGAATATATATTAAAAATAGGACCATCATCATCACTATGAGAAAGAGAAATAGGGAAGCAGTAGGTGGCCAGGAAGTTAGCATTAGGCCTAGTGTCACAGAAGAAAGATGAGAAGCTCCTCCCAAAAATCGTAAGTGGGGATGAATCATTAAACATAGCCAAAGGAAAAAAACAAAAAACAAAACAAAAAAAAAAACCCACAGTCCAGTGTGAACAGGATGGGCCAAGAGAACTCCATGAGTACGAGAAAGGACATATTTTACAGGGCAGATGGTGAAAGAGAAGGTGTTTTCAGGGTATTTCCCATAATGGGGAAATTGCTAGAGACAGCAAAACTTATGTAGTACCCATAGTTGAAGGAGTCTTTGTATTTCTGACAGAAGACAAACACGACAAAAATCCATTTAAGATTTTGGAAACTGTGGGCAAAGAACTCATTACTGGTGTTTTGCATGGCTTGTTGGAAAAAGATATCCTGAAATTGGAGGATGCAGAAAAGAAAACATTTTATGATGCCAAACCTGAAGACAAGCCCTGGGTCATTCTGAACTCTGTGCGACAGAAACGCCAGGAGGCAGGTCAAGCCCTTGTCCATACTTTCATTAATACGGACAAATATTCCACCAGTGTAGAAGGTAAACTGAAAGCACTTACAATGGGTGTCTCAAATTTTCCAGAAATTACTTAACTCCAAGGTCCCTCTAGGATCCTCCATAATCCCACCATCCTTCCAGTACTAAAGTATAATTTTCACTAACTCTTTCATCATCTTTTGAGAGTCCACCTTGTCTTTTATAGAAGGAGATCCAATTTCCAATTAGCTAAGAAGCTGAGTCCTCGTGCTTATATTGCTCACAGAAAGAGCTGACTGTGCGAACTGTGCAGTAAGGCATACCCACATGTGAGTCCAGGTTCTATCACTGTGGATGCTCTATGATTTCATTCTAGCTTCCTAACCTCCCTGAGCATCAGTTTCAGCATCTGTGAAATGGTCACAATTTTGGTAACTTCTTCACAGGGTAGGTACATCGTGGCAGGCACAGGCTAACAACCTCTAAGACAGTAGGAGCTCTTGCCCAGAATTCTCCTCTGGGCTCCAGATACACTTAGCACCAGAGGCGCATTCAACATTTTTGCCCCAATACTCCACTGACATCACAAAACTACATCTACAGAGTTAAACGCTTAATTCCTCCCATCAGATTTGTTCTGCTTCTAATCTCTTTCTATCATGTTAGGAAGGACTACATGCCACCAAGCTTCTTTATCCAGAGCACAAGTGTTCTCTTCATGAGTGAATAGTAGCTCTCAGCACAGTGCCCACCACCACGGGCATGTAATAAATATAGGATAAATACGACAGTGGAAGGATAGGCATGCAGTAAATATTAGTTATCATAATTATTATGATAAACCTTTCTAGGGCTTATGTATTTCTGTAAGTTATGAAATATGGTCAGGGGAACACCTGTAAATTGTCCAATCTATTAAAACATTTTAAAACTTCTGACCTAGATTAAATTCTAAGTATTACTAAGACATAAATATATACACTCTTGCCCAATTTCATCAGTGATAGACTTAATTCACTGTAGAAGTTAACCTCAAAACCCAGCCCTAAGACCTCAGGTTTATTAATAATAACAATAGCAATAATAAACAAAAGGCAACTGTAGGGACCTCACTATAGCATATATGCTTTTTCAAAAAGTTCTACATGGAGAAGGGACACTCTGTCCAGCCGGGCATACATACTAATCTGATGGGTGTTCAGTACCGTGGCCTAAGCTGTGTTCTCATTAATATTTAAGTTTGTCCTTACGCAGTTTTATTACTTTCTCTTAAATCTGAGGTAGAATGGAAACAATTTGAATTAAAAAATTTTCAGAGATAATTCAGCAAATGGGAATCAAAACTGAAGTCATGGGAGCTTCAAAATAATTTCAGCAACCCCAGGAATCACAATGAGCATCAAACTGAGATAACAGCGGACCATTGACAGAGTCTCGCAGTCAGAAGGCAGGTGGAGGTCCTCTCACCATGTGTCCAGTGGCTCCCTGGGCTCTCTCTGCACACAAGACCTCTGGAGGAATCCCAGGGCACCCGCAGGCAGGGAAGCTGGGTGAGCTGGGCTATTGGTGTACGTAAAAACCTTGACCTGGCCTTCTGGACACGGATATGATTCTGATTTATTTCATTTAACAAACTCCTATATGTGCATGCTATGTGACGGTCACTTAGTCTGAGGAGTAACTACTCAGATTTCTACTTGCCAAGGAAGACGGCTTGGTCTTACCATGTACAAGTCTCTTCCTTTTCGTGTCAGTTTAAGGGGCTTCCTGCGTATTTCATTAAGTAACAGATAAGACAAACGTTAGCATTTCTATCTAAACTCCTAATTCTCTCATTTCTTTCTGTGTGCTGCCATGTGTGCACAGAACCCTCTTTGGGCAGCAAGCTGCCCTGTAATATTTATTATGTTGTAATGAAAGGATTCATTTTCATGCTTACTATTAAATGTGAGATAGAAATCCTATCTAACCCCCAATTTTATCTGCGAACATGGTATCTGTACAGAGATAGAAAATGGTCATTAGGAGCTGATGTTTATTAAGTTGGAGTGTTCACCAAACCTGGACACAACCTGGAAACAGAGGAGACTTTTGAAGCGAAATCATATCTTGTGATCAGAGACTAGCCCAGGACCCTGGATGTCCTCACATTGGTAAAATGTTCTGGAATACAAAGAAAGAGCATGGGTCTCTTTTTAAGAAATGTCTGGAAAACTTGGTTTTCTTCATCTCCAGAAGTCAGGTTTTTAGCATTCAGTTTAGAAAGACATTTTTAAAAAATGTTATTTAAAAATGAATGGTAACAAATGAGTAAAATAGGGAAAAAAATATAAAATACAAAAACTGAAAAGTTTATACAGGATAACATTGCTTTTCTCACTTAGATAAAAGAAAACCAGAGGAGTCTTGGTTTGTGTCACTGAACACAAAGGTTAATTCCTTTCATGAACAAAATCCTTGTTATATTAGCTCTTGGCAAACTGCTAAATTCTGTTTATGAATTCCTCTTCCTCATTTCTCCAAGGGCAGGCTCAGAGCTTTCCAAGCTTCTTACGCAATCTCAGTTAAGTGAGGCCATGAAGGGTCAGAGAGTTCTCCATTTCTCTAGGGATTAGGTCAGGGTGAGTTAGAGACAAACTTCTCCAAGTTGGGAGAGGTATTTCTTCATATTTGAAAACGTGGGTTGAAAACTTAGTACCAATTGTTTCACACTTTGGGGAAAGGAGACCCGGGGCATATGAGAATCCCTGACAGACAACTGTCCCTTTGACCTTGGACACAGGATATCATTTCTCCTTTAAGTTGCAACTCTGTTAGGAGCCACTGCAGCCTATCTCCTCTGCAAAGGTCAAGTGTACCAGCTGAGAAATACCTGGATGGTACACAATTCAAATTTTTGTGATGTGTCTGGTATGTGCGTGTGTGTCTATATGCACTGTATGAAATAGGAGTGGACTCAGGATTGTACAATATCCTACAGGGTAGCTGTTGGCCACACCGGGCTACTCAGGGCTTGAGTTGTGATTAGAATACATGTTGAGAGGATGCGATTTCAGATATATCATGCAAAAATATATTAGTAATATTAACTAATTTCACCTGCTTCCTTTTAGTTTTTTAACAAGGACATTTGGAATTGCATATGTGGATCAATTATATTTCTAAGGGATAGCAGTTCAATAACATTAACCTAGGATGTTCTTGCTCAGAGACGATGGAAAGTCCACATGGATGAGTGAGGACTCAAGAGTAAAACCATTGGAAAAATCTTACTTTTTGCTGAATATGTAAAAGCTAAATTTGACCCCAAATCATCGAGGTGTTTTCCTAAAAATTATCAGAAATCTAGTCTTGCATTTTCGGGTAGATCTGCTTTGTCTACTAACTGTCTTCCCCTTCTTTCCTACTCAAAATACATTTCCTCACATTAGAGGTTAAATACAATTATAACCCCTACATGTTGAAAAATCTTCTTCCCATGACTTCCCTTTTCTGTCAATATTCTTAAGAGATAATTGGGTCACAAAGGCAGATATCCTAATTTCTATACCACAATATATCCCACAGCCTTCGTGGAAAACATGCCTGGGCTAAACATTCCTGACTCAGAAGAATCTACAGATACTCTCAAGCTTTGTCCTCCTGAAACATTTGTGAAAATGTATAAAGAGAAGGCTGAAGAGGTGCTGTGCTCCATCCATGAAATTGAGAATAAGAGAGAAACAACTGCTTTCACTATCTACATGATTTCCTAAAGCACTAATTGCAAAGTTGGGGAGCAAAGACAGTGGTAATCTTACCCATTGATGCCCTGAGCAAGGAAGAAATCATGTGGCCTCACACAGACTTTGATTCTCTTTCAACCCCATGATAAATACAGATCTCTCATTTTGTTCATTTATTTGTTGTTGAATCTATTTGTGATTTATGGAAATTTTAGTTGTAGTCATAGAAGAAAAATATTTATAAGAGACTATGACTGAGTAATAATTGTTTGCATTCTAGTTGAAAAGCCTAGATGTAAAGTGTATTTTTAAAATACAATTAAAGCCTGCATAGCATTATATGTTGATATGTTTTCCAAAAAAACAGTGCCAAAATAATAATGCCACCAAAGAAAAAGGATCATTGATGTATTTATTTTTGGCTGGAGCCAGTGGCAAGTGTCTCCTGGCTTTTTCGAAATTGGATTTGAATCTTGAATGATAAGAAAGATTTGACCAGGTAGAGAAGAGAGAGGAGGAGACAGTAGGAAACATTCTAGTCTCCTTAAGATTCTTAAGTAACCATTCCAGCGACATACTGGGTCCTGTTCTGGGCTCTTAAGAGATAACTTACTTCCAATTTGTACTTCTTGCTACTGCCACCTTAATCCATCATCAAGAGTTAGGGGGGGGCAATGTCTTCTGGTACAGGACAGGGGACAGGGCAGCTAAACGAGTCCTTAGCACAGTAACAATGACTGGTAGATGAGGGTTTAAAAGGAGATTTAGGTAAATCCAACTCACTGTCTATATCCATTTCCTGTAGATCTACCCAATAAAGGAGAGAAAGGATCGTACTCGTCTGGCTCTCATCATATGCAATATAGAGTTTGATCATCTTTCTCCCAGGAATGGAGCTGAACTTGACATTGCAGGAATGGAGAGTCTGCTGGAGGGCCTGGGCTACAGTGTAGATGTGAAACGGAAACTCACTGCTAAGGTAGGAAACCCTCATGTGCCCCAAACATGTATATATTCAACATGCATCCTACTACTAACATGTTAGCTTTAGCATATTAGGCAAATACGTTGATATTTGGCCGTGTGTGTGTGTGTGTGTGTGTGTGTGTGTGTGTGTGTATGTGTGTTTAAGAAATGAAAGTAAGAGACAGGGAAAATCTGTGTCTCTTTTGAGCCTTAATATCCTCAGTTCCATAACTAGACAAGGTGATTGGCATGTGTATTTAGATAATCCTTAGTTTCAAAGTGGGATGATAAGAACTCAGCCCCAACATTCTCCAGAAAACTCTAGAGTAATGTTTATTTAGTAGGAGTGTACTCATCATGTAAGGACTGAGTCCCCACTTTGTCCCAGGCCTCTTCCTAGTGTTGGGCATAGGTCTGTACACACAATGGGAAGCACCCAGTTGTAGTGCTATAGGCTTGTTTGGTGCAGGATAATTGTACCATACGCCAAGCAGAAAATTTCACAGATTTGGTGTGTTTCTGTAAGAGTAGAAAGAACATTTAAAGTAAGTGAAAAGAGAAAGGAAAAATGAAATATGAGAGTGAACTAGTGAGTGGGGAGCAAAGATGTTTGATGGGATGGTCAAAAGAGACTTGTTTGGGGAGTTAACACAGGAGCAGGCACATGACTATAGGGAGCAAGACAGCTCTGGAAAGTTGTGGATGAACTACATTCCAGGCAGGAGGACCAGAAGGGGGAAATCTGAATGGAATGGGAAACCTGAGCAGGGTGACCAGAGCCCAGGGGAGGATGAGACAGGGTGAGAGAGAAATATTCGTACATCAGAAGTTTAACTTTATTCTAAGCACACTGGGAAGAGTTTTACAAGGCTAGTGGCAGGAAGTATTTATAACCCAAGGCTTTTGTCAAGTAATGAAAGGAAAGACAGAAATGAAGAGGAAAAATGGAGAGTTTATATACCGTCACCTGGAGCAGAAAGTTCAACCCACTGCCCCATTATAGAAAGAAAAATCAAAAGACATTAGGGAGCAAACACTGCATGAAGACATAGCAAGTGCAATCTTAAACTGCTGGTGATAAGCAGAAGGTGAGACCAACTGAAATGCTTGTCATATCAAAGTAAGACCTGGTGGTCTTTTGCAGGGTATGGAATCAGTGCTACGGGAATTTGCCGCCCGCCCAGAGCATAAGTCCTCAGACAGCACATTCTTGGTGTTAATGTCTCACGGCATCCTGAATGGAATCTGTGGGACCGCACACAGTGTGGAAAATCCAGATGTACTAGCTTATGACACCATCTTCCAGATTTTCAACAACCGTCACTGCCTCAACCTCAAGGACAAACCGAAGGTCATCATCATCCAGGCCTGCAGAGGTGGTGAGTTCTGAGATAGAAACCCCAAAGGCCATGAAGGTGTCTGCAGAGAACTGCACTGAGTGCTTTGTTTCTAGTGATGATCTTAGAGTCCATTCAGTGCAAATAAACTGGATTGAATTCAGGAAACACTAGTGCCTAGCGGGCTGGTATCACAAGCATTTGTCCTGTCAGCTAACACATTTCTGTTCAACTTAATCCAGGGTAAGTGGTGAAGAAGAGTACCAGAATCCCTAAATCAGAGTGAAACACAAATATTCAGATCTTAGAGCAAAATGACTTTAATGATGGTTTTCCTTATTCATGCTTTAGAGTCATTTTGACAATCTCTGGCTTGAGAATAATTTTCTTTGAAAGTGAGCATATTATGTAAGAGCACCATGCTTTTCTCTCAGGCATGTTGAATGGGAAATGAGTGGGAAAGTGAGGGAACTTGGGATGGCAGTCAAAAACAATTCTTTTATCCTGACTTTCAATTGTCCTTGAGCTTTGTTGGAGCAATGTTTGGGGGAGAAGGAAACAAAAATAATTTACCTAAAAAATTTAAGTGTGCTCCCTGAGATGAAGCAAATAAGCCTTTAACTTCTATGCTCTTCCTAGCAACTGGCTTCTTCTAGTTTTATGATGTTATCATTGTTAATCAACACATGGCTGTAGGGACCCCAGAGAAAGGCAGAGTGCTGTGTGTGTGTGTGTGTGTGTGTGTGTGTGTGAAACTGGTGACAATAAATTCTTAAAAACAAAGAAGGGGGCAATTCTACTAGTCCTACTGAGAGATACAGTGTGTAGAAAATTGATGTCTCCATAGAAAATCCTGGGGAACTGTGGGTCAGCGACTCTCCAAAAGCCTCGACAGACAGCTGGACACATCAACCTCTGATGCTTGAGAGCGATGCCATTCACAAGGTCCACGTAGAGAAGGACTTCATTGCTTTCTGCTCCTCGACCCCACGTATGTGTCTCTCCATTGCATACAGGGATTTGTGGGCCAGGGGACACCACTGAATGATTCTAGAAAATCAAGATAGCCTCTGTGCAGCCAGGATCCTAAGTGAATTTTAAGTGTTGTCAATCTATTTTAAATCTCATCTAGTCTGTTCTGTGGAGACAAATATTCTTTTTTTCCCTTAATTTCTAAAACTGTGCTTTTATTATAAGTGTTGTGCTTTACAGTAAAAGGTACACCAAACATTAAAACAATCTAATGCAAGGAACCCCCTTTACAATATACCATTTTAAAACAGGTGATTGATTCTTTTCTATTAAATCATTCAACATTTTGAGAAGAGTTCTTACGGATCCTGGGACTGGCTGCCCTCTCTCAAATGATCAAGTGCAAGCTTTTTGCTCCATACTACCCACCTGATGTTGTCTGAAGTGTTGCCATTGGATGCCTCAGCAGGAAGTAGATGCCCCTTTAACAGAAGTAGAAAATGATCCTAAGGGGCTTATTAAAACTACTAACAGTATAGCAGTGTTTAGTTCTTGATTTCCATATAATCATCTGAAGAAGTCTTACATTTGGGTATCTATAACTTGCAAATTTTTATCTTTAGTCTTTTTAAACCACTCTATGCAATTAGGATTGACTTACAAAATGCTATGCATATTTACCATGTATGAATTGATGAGTTTGGAGATGAGTATATATCTCTGGAACTATCACCACAATCCATGCCATAAACATATCCATCTCCTCCAAAAGTTTCCTTTGGGTCTGTTCATCTATTTTGTTTATTATATCATGAAAGACAGCACCGCACACCATCTGTAAATGGCCACCTGTGTAAACATGGGGACATTCTTGAATCCTTCTGAACTTCTAGTTTTTCCTCTGTAAAATGGGATAATTCCAGTTATCTCTCAGCCTCTTTTGAAAGCCAAGCAGATGAACATAGGGCACAGAGTAAAAAGTCAGTCAGTGCTAAGTAGACAGTGCAATTGCTATGCCATCTTCTGAAGTTTTGATGAGCTGCCCCATTACTTGGACTTCTGTTAATTTGTTTGTTTCCTCTCTGTGGAAAATGAGTTAATGTAAGGTTATAAGTGCTTCTCCTAAACACATTCAGATAATTACTAAGCTATGCTTTAGAAAAAACTGTAAATAAAATAAGGCCACAGCCCCAAGCTTACCACTTCCTGTCTTCACAGATAATGTGTCCTGGAGACATATCACAAAGGGATCTCTTTTCATTGCACAACTCATCACATGCTTCCAAAAATATTCCTGGTGCTGTCACCTAGAAGGGGTATTCCGGAAGGTAAGCTTGTCTTTCCTTTTCTAATCATTTGTTCAGGAAGGCAATGCCAGGTGTAAGGCAAACACAAGTAGAATGGGACCTGGTTTCTGTCATCTAGGTATTTAAAACCTGATGTAGAAAAAAAATGTCAATGCACTGTAGCAGGAGATAAAAATATTATCAAAAAATATATAAAATATAAGCTGTGTGTCATTGGGTGTAAGTTCTTAAATTTCAAAGAGTGGGAGGTGTTTGCATTAGTTTTCGTTGTTTGCTTTATTAAATAAACATAGACTAGGTGGTAAGTTGTGGGCTCTATCCCGGTGACAAAGGGGTGAATGAGATACATGTGACATAAGACTACATAGCACATACATGTTTATGAGACAGATGGTCACTGAACAAGTAGGCCAACAATGTGTGATTACAGATTATGATAGGGTCTGTAAAGAAAGAGACTGACCACATGTGGAAGTGAAGACAGGAAAAGACATTTTGTGTCCAGCTCTGAACACTCCTTAGTCCCTCCTCCTTCCTAGTTTTCTTTCCTCTGCGGCTCTCTCCTCCATGCACTAAATATATGTATTTATATGTTCATTTTTCATCTGTATTCACTCACTCAAATGTGAATTTACGAAGGCAGGAATTTGCTAAATATCTCAACGTTCAAGCACATAGGAATTACTATTCATTGAATAAATACATAGATATGCCCCCTTTTTCATGGAGCAAGGGATTGGTATTAAGAATGTGGAAAAATATGGTTGTGTTTTTATTCAAAAACACAGAGAGGGGCAGCCCGGGTGGCTCAGTGGTTTAGCGCCGCCTTCAGCCCAGGGCCTGATCCTGGAGCCCCAGGATCGAGTTCCCACATTGGGCTCCCTGCATGGAACCTGCTTCTCCCTCTGCCTGTGTCTCTGCCTCTGTGGGTGTGTGTCTCTCATGAATAAATAGATAAAATCTTAAAAAAAAACGCAGAGAACAGTTGCACTTTTCTGGAAAAAGAAGGCTATACCACTAGTAAATTAGAGAAGACAACAGAGTGACATGCGTTGGGGTCTCTGTGAATAGGAACTCAGGAAGATAAGTCTTGTTGAATGAATAGGATTTTGACATTGCACTTGGAAGGGATTTCCAGGAAAGGGTAGAAATAATTGATCTAGGTTAAGTAGGATCTCATTGATCAGTCTGTGGCAAAAGACTTCAGGTCATCTGGTGGTGGGGACGTGAAAGTTGGTCAGTGTTATGTATTTAAGAACAAAATCCCAGGATTTGAGTCTCTTTGAATTGAGGACTTAGCCCTGGTGGACATAGAAAGTTGAGAATTCTCAAGATCCAGTTCTCATGAACAGACCTGTTCATGGAACAGGGGAACATGGAACAAGGGAAAATTGATCATCAAATCTATAGATCAGAAAAAAAACAGGAAATGGAGTTTGAAAGGGTTTGGATTAGACATAAAGTGTTTGAGATAAAGAGCATATTCTGACATGGACATCACTTTTTTTAAAGATTTTTTTATTTATTTATTCATGAGAGACACACACACACACAGAGAGAGAGAGAGAGAGAGAGAGAGAAGCAGAGACACAGGCAGAGAGAGAAGCAGGCTCCATGCAGGGAGCCTGACGTGGGACTCGATCCCAGATTTCCAGGATTACACCCCAGGCCAAAGTCAGCTCTAAACCACTGAGCCACCAGGGCTGCCCATGGGGCATCACTTTTAAGAAGTAGGACAGCAGTGGCAGAGAGTTTGAGTGTCCATTGGGCTGGCTCCATCAACCTTAGAAGCACTCTGCATTCCCAGAATTTTCTGGCTCATAGTGGAAAATCTTTTCTGAGAATTCATAAGAGGCATGTCTCATCTAGCCCATCTTTTTGTTTTTAGGTACAACAATCATTTGAAAAACCAGATGTGAAAGCCCAGATGCCAACCATTGAACGAGTATCCATGACAAGATATTTCTATCTCTTCCCTGGCAATTGAAAAGACTAAGTATCAAGAGCTGTTAGCAGGTGAAGTAAACGGGAAAGTAATATTGGTGGTGAGGCCCAATGGCCAAATGGCAGCTGACAGCTTAGGTGGTCACATTAGTGTTTCTTGTTGATATAGTTTAGCAATTAGCTGCTATTTTCACTCTGCTTATGTGCATCCAGATCCTATATTCACCTCCACAATCAACCCTTCAGTGAGGTAAATGAAACCAAGAGAGAAGTAATAAAGTGTGAAGGACACAGGGTAGCAATTATTAAAACAGAAATGTCCTCATCCCTCCATTATTACTTATATTCACCTCTCGCATTCTCTCCCGGCCTGCCCTCCCACATGCCAAGTTACCACATATTACCTCCAATCCCCAAAACACAGAAAACAGAGGGGTTGATCATGGAGAAAGAAGGACTTTGGTCCTCTATGTACATGCACTACATCATGTCTGTGAGCTACCATCACCAGACAGCATAAAACCTACCTTGTACAGGGGCAGACTCTGGTTCTGCACTGTTCTCACAGTGTGGATCTCAGAACACTAAGAGTGTGTGTTCACATTTGCACATACTGCTCAGAAACTCCTTTAGTATCCATCTTAACACTTATTATTGTTATTATTATTTTTGGTCAAAATATTTTAGAATGAGTATATCAAGATTAGATCCCACAACTATTTTACTCACTCAGAGCAGCTTTATATCACTCTAAATCACTCATAAGCAATTATGAGTCTCCCTCTTAGAAACATAATTTATTTTTTTAGAAACATAATTTAAATCCTATTTAATAGTGAGGTTTATCTCAGTAGTTTAAATATGTGCCCATGCCATCTCCTACCCTGGGTTTCTAACACATAGATTGCATAATTGCTCGGATATTTCAGTATAACAGCTTTTAAGGCCAAATTAGTCCAATAGAACAACACTTGGGGATTGAATCACTTATGGGACAAGCACATCAAGTACATACTATGTTCTAGGTTCTTTTCTAGATACTGGTACCAGGGAACAAAATAAGTGGAGTCCTTGCTCTGAGAAAGCCCACACACGAGTGAGGGGAGACAGACTCTAACCACACAAGGAAATCTATCCTGGGTCAGAAAGGGACAAGAGCTGCAAAAAATAAAGGAGTAAAAGAATAAAAAATAAGAGGCTAAAGAGACACACAAAGTGGATATTGTTGTGCCACAGATAGATTATTCAGGCAAAATTTCTTCCAAGTGATAAAATGGTGAAATCAGAACAAAGAATAGACATACTGGCGGGGGGCGGGAGTGAATCTTGTAGTACCTGTGAGGGGAAAGGTGTCCCAGCTCATGGAACAGTAAATACAATCACCCTGAGGCAGAGACAAGTCTCATGTGTTTACAGAAGTGCAAAAAGGGTATAGCCTGGAGGAGACAAAATCAGAAAAGTGGTAGGAAACCTGATCACATGGACCTTAGTGGTCACATGGTAAAGACTTTAAATTCTTTATCCCCAGTGAGACAGAATCTTTTAAGTGCTTTTGCACAGAGAAATGATATAATCTAGTAACTGAGGTTTTGCAAAGATCCCCTGGAGTATTTTTCGGCAAACAGACTATAAGGGTCACAAATATAAACCAAAGGAAATGGCAAAATGCACCTGGAGAAGGATGGCAAAGGAATCATGACAAGGGATGGACTGAAGGCTTCCAGGGATTACTATCTTGACATTCTGCTCTCTTTCTCTCCTTCAGGCAATCATGGGCAGTCCAGCTCTTCTTGACCAACTTCAAAAAATACCTTTGCTACCATAGCACACTCATGTAACCTTTCCTATTTCAATAAAAACAAAAGCAAATGAACTGTGTCCTTTACGTCCTTTAACAGAGAATATGATTTCAGCTAAAATGTGACAGAATGGAAATGGCATGGAAGAAGCTAGCCGGACTTTCCAGCTTTGTGATTCATACAGCGTCAGCAATTCTGGCTGAACATAACAGGCCATGACTTGCCCTCAGCAAAGGGTGACAGGAGAATGTCCCTATCTGGAGACAAGAATTGTAAACTGGTTAGATCCTCATTTATATACTTATCAAACCCTGGACCTATAGGATGATCTAGAGAAGTCTTCTAATTTATTATTTAACCAACATTATAGGTTGACCTCATTTTTTTCCTTCAGTAAACTATGATTTCAGCAAATTAATATACCTGTCCAAACACAGTTAGCAGGTGATTGCTCTGGACTTGCTCTGAATTATGAGCTTTTAACCACTGTGCTGTGTTACCTCTTCAAAGCAAGAAAGGACTAAAATTGTAGGGATTCTGAATTGTAGGAATTAACAGAATTTTTAACTGCTAGGGTTAACTCACACTACGAAGATTCATGACAGTTTTATTTCTGGACTTTGCCTTCCCATGTAGACATATAAGTCGCATCACAAAGATCCAAAAATATATAGCACAGATGCCTTATTCTCTGACTACTGAGTGGTAATATTAGAAAGCCAATAACAGAAAGACTACCTTGCAACTGCATGTAGTTCAAAATGGGGATACAGGAGCAGCCTGGGTGGCTCGGCGGTTTGGCACTGCCTCAGCCTAGGGCAGGATCCTGGAGACCCGGCATTGAATCCCACGTTGGGCTCCCTGAATGGAGACTGCTTCTCCCTCTGCCTGTGTCTCTGCCTCTCTCTCTCTCTCTCTCTCTCTCTCTCTCTCTCTTTCATAAATAAATAAAATATTTTTTAAAAAAATGGAGATACATACACACAAGCACATACATATTCTATATACACATGCACAGAACTAAGTGTACATATACACACATACAAAAACAAGGAAGAAAAAACAAATGAACTAAGCATTCAACTTAAGGAGTCAGAAAAATACTAAACCAATACATAAAGAGAAGTAAGTAGATAATACAAATGAATAAGAATGCATGAATGAAATGGTAATGAAACAAAGGACTGAGCAGGTCATTGAAGCAAATGCTGACCCTTTAAAAGAACTAATGAAATTGCAGGCATTCAGCAAGACAGAATGTGAGAAAACAGAATTAGCACAAAAACAATATCTGAGATTAAAAGGTACAGTGAATATAGTTAAGAATAAATACAGGGGAGAAAAGTTAGAGAATATCATACATAACACAGAGGAAATATACAGAAAATTTTCTAGGAAAGGCAAATTAATAAAATTTAAACATGATAAAATAAAAAGCTGAATGGATCCATAGACATTAAACAAATTAATTTTTCTTTTCATATTTATCTGTAAAAAAGTTAGTAGACCCAAATGGTTGGAAAGGCATGAATTTCAAAACTTCTAAGAAACTGATGAGCTCTACTTTCAATAAACACTTCCCCATAAAAAAGAGAAGTAGGCTTTTTAAATTCTTTAACAGGGCTTATACAAAACTGAAACAAAATTAGAGAAGAGGAAAAGTTAGAAAAATACTGGCTGATTTCTCACAAACACTCACGTAAAGATTCTAAAAAACATGTTAGTAAAGCAAATCTAGCCATATCAGAAATAATATATTTATTAATTAGTATGTAATGATACTAGTGTTTAAAAATGTGGTTACAGTTGAATAACTGACATATTTATGACAGCTTTCTTCAAAATAAAAGATTAAAAAGTAGGAGTGCCTGAACACAATTCAATAAGAGTGCATTGGACACAATCTAAAGTTTATCAGTCTGTTAAGCATCTGCTTTGGGCTCAGTTCATGATGCCAGGGTAGTGGGATGGAGTCCCATATCCAGCTCCCTGCTCAAGGGAAGTGGGCCTCTCCTACTCCTCCTAGCTGATGCTCACTGTCACTATCTCTGTCTCCCTCTTTCTCAAATAAATAAATAAAATATTTAAACAGAAAATATTAAAAAGTAGATCTAAAAATTTAAGAGGTTTATAAAGGCATTCAATAGTATTGAGGATTCTTTTACAGTTAAAAATAATTAAAACCCTAGAAAATCAAGGTGAAAAGCAATTCCTTAATCTAATACATGCATTTAATAAAGAGCGTATCAACAAAATAGAAATAGAGGGAAAACACTTAACATGAGAAAATCTATAGACTTCTTAGGGAGAAATATTTGCATATTGCCTTTAAATAAGTAAAAATATTTCTATTTGATTTTGCAATGGATTTCCAATAAAGCCAAAAGTAAAAAGTATGGAACACAAGAAATAAAATCATCACTGTTCATGAAAAATGTGATTTTATTCACTAAAAATCTCTTCAAATTAATAAGTTTCCTGGATTTGCAAGAATTCAGATCAATATACAAAATTTAACAGCATTCTTGTATTTAAAAGATGATAGGAAGTGTTTGCTTTTTAAAGCCTCTTCTTGCAATAGCAAGGAACATCATAAGATATTTGAAGGTAATTGCAAACCAATATTTGCAAGTTATGTATGGAAAAATATTTTTAAAAAATCATTGAGTAACAAAAAGGAAAGATTTAACTACTGTGAGGGATATCACCATCATTGACCAAAAGTCAAATGTAAATGTTTCGGTTTCCCACCCAAATTAATATATACCTAATGGAATAACAAAGAAAACCTAACATGGTATTTTCTTGAACTCAATAGTTTGTTTATACACTTTGTTTAGAAGGAAAAGTAATAAGAATAGCTAAGAAAACAGCCTATGGAATGGGAGAAGATATTTTCAAATGACATATTTGATAAAGGGTTAGTATCCAAAATCTATAAAGAACTTTTCAAGCTCAACACCAAAAAAAACAAATAATCTAGTTAAGAAATGGGCAGAAGACATGAATAGATACTTTTCCAAAGAAGACATACAGATGGCCAACAGATGCATAAAAATATGCTATCACTTATTATCAGGAAAATACAAATCAAAACCACAATGAGAGATGCCTGGGTGGCTCAGCATTTGAGAGTCTGCCTTCTGCTCAGGGCGTGATCCTGGGGTCCCAGGGTTGAGTCCCACATCGGGCTCCCTGCCTGGAGCCTGCTTCTCCCTCTGCCTGTCTCTGCCTCTCTATCTCTCTGTGTCTCTCATGAATAAATAAATTTAAAAAAAACACAATGAGATAGCACCTCATACCTGTCAGAATGGCTAAAATTAACAAGTCAGTAAACAACAGATGTTGGCAAAGAAGCAGAGAAGAGAGGGAGCTCTCTTACACTGTAGGTGGGAATGCAAGCTGACGCTGCCATTCTGGAAAACAGTATGGAGGTTCCTCAAAAAATTGAAACAGACCTATCCTATGGTCCAGCATTTACACTATGAGGTATTTACCTAAAAGATACAAAAACACTTATTTGAAGGGGCATATGAACCCCAATGTTTATAGCAGCATTATCAACAATAGCTAAATTATGGAAAGAGCCCAAATGTCCATGGACTGATGAATGGATAAAGAAGATGTGACAATGGAACTTCATTCAGCCATAAAAAAGAATGAAATCTTGCCATTCGCATTGATGTGGAGGGAGCTAAAGTGTATTTTGCTAAGTGAAATAAGTCAGTCAGAGAAAGATATACCATATGATTTTACTCATATGTGGAATTTAAGGACAAAAACAGACTAACATACAGAAAAGGGGGAAAAAAGAGAGGCAAACCACAAGAGACTCTTAACTATAGAGAACAATCTGAGAGTTGATGAAGGGAGGTGGATGGGGATGAGCTAATTGTGTGATGCATATTAAGAAGGGTACTTGTTATGATGAACACTGCGTGTTATTTGTAAGTGATGAATCACTAAATTCTACTCCCGAAAGCAATATTACACCATATGTTAACTAAGTAGAATTTAATAAAAATTAGGGAAAAAAGCTCTATCAGTTGGCATATGTAACAAAACAGAGACATAGAAGAGAATATAAAGGATAAAAATGAGCAATATAGGCTATGTCATGTTGCAGAGGTAAAATAAAAATAATACAAGAAATCAGTTTACAGAAAAGTACATAATCTCATACATAATTATTCTACCTCAAGCCTACACAAAAGAGTACATACCTCAGGAAGTAAAGATCTCAATATGAAAACCAAAACTTTTAAGTTATTAGGAGGAGAAAAATAGAGAATAATTTCTTCATGAAATTTAAATATTAGGAAATTTCCAAGATTCAGAAAGTATGTCACATAAAGGAAAAGAGTAATAAATTAATACAATAAAATTGAAGAACCCTATATACAATGCTACACCTTCATTGTAGTGGTGGTATCTTGGTGGATGTGTGTGTCCAAACTCATCAAAATGTCTACGTTAAACAAATGCAATGTTTTGTATATAAATTATATTTCAACAAAGCTGAAAAATGAAAATAAAAGTGAATTACAGATGATAAAAAGGTGTAGAAACCATGAGAAATACTTTTTAAAATGCAAAAAATCCATAAAGTATCCATTCACTCAGTAAACCTACAAATAATGAATAATGAGTATGTCAAGCATTAGGCATTAAATAGAAAATCCTCATGGATCTTGCAATTTATTTTTTTAATATTTTATTTATTTCTTCATAAGAATACACAGAGTGGAGAGAGAGAGAGAGAGGCAGAGGAAGAAGCAGGCTCCGTGCAGGGAGCCAGACGCAGGACTCGATCCTGGGTCTCCAGGATCACACCCCAGGCTGAAGGCAGTGCTAAACCACTGAGCCACCCGGGATGCCAGGATCTTGCAATTTAGTGAGGAAAAGAGAGATAGAAGCTAAATAAATACATAATTTATCAGCAGAATAAGACCTGATAAAAGAGAGGAAGCCAGCCGTGAGAAAGAAGGAAGAGCATTCCAGACAGAGGGAAAAGCAAAGAGAAATGGCCCAAGACAAGAATGTAGTTGGAGTGTTTGAGGAGGAGCAAGGAGGT